GGGCCTAGATATGAGAGAATACATCTATAAACAAATCCTGCAGCACACAGTGCATGAGAGAAAAAAATCGAGACCGTAATTTTCGATTGAAACAGCAACTTTGCAGGTTTTTTCGTATGTTTTTTATAGTTGTATTTGCGATTTCTTGGTCTCATTTGATAGAATGGAAGACATATTACAGAAATAGAGATGGTTTTAATTAGTTTTAGTACTGAAATGGCTTGAAACTGAGCTCAAAGAAGCAGAAATGTTAAATTTTTGCCGATGTTCAAGAGTAAACAAATGACCTTACACATCAAATACACGCCAGCTGGTGGGTCTAATATACATTCACAAATGTGCTGATATTATTTAAACAATTATTACAATATTGCATGAGAGTAAATCTTCCATTTTTTGGTTTGAATAAAAATTCATTATGTGAATTAAAAATGAAAATGGAATACATTTGTAAAGCCTGAAAACATAACTAATGAACAGTGGAAATGTTAGCTTAGTGCCAGGAATGCCTGCATTGTTTATTCTGGACCCTATTTTGAAACTGGAATATTTTGAACTTTGCACTAAACTGGCCAAATTACCAATTTCTAATCACTAGTTTGTAGTTGAAACAGTTGAGTTGGCAATTTCTTGTGCTCAATCGATAGAATAGAAGTAATACTAGTGAAATAGCTAAGAATTTGGTCGACTGGAATAAAGTAATTGGCCTAAAATGGGAGTCAAAGTCAGCAAAATCGCCGATGCGTAAATATCGCTGACACATCAAAATTTGCGAGAGCATAATTTCGTCAATTTTCCATCAAATTTCGTACTTTTTATTTTATTACCTTCAGAAAAAGATTCTGTACCATTTCATAAGAAAAAATAAAATTATTTTTTGAAAATTCTTGGACACTGGTGCGCACTTTGAAATTTGGCCTTTGGACCCTGAAAGGGTTAAAACCAAAATCCACGAAAACTGAAACCATTTTCCCCATAAGAAATAATGTAAATCCAATTAATCTGTTCCAGACACCCAAAAAATAATTTTTTTAGAGATTAAATATAGATTTACCTACCGAAAAGAATGATAAATCGGTATAAAGCAATAATATCATCACACTTACCTTTATTGAAGACTCTTGTTGGTGTATGGAAGATGGGAGGAGGGGAGAGGGAGGAGAAGTTACTATTGTTTGGAAGGGGAATCCCCTTCCATAAACACTTTAGGTACAGAGTCCTTATCCGGGGTTACTTTCCTTCTTTGTTTTTTAATCTGTAAACGGTCCAAACGTATATATACGTTTTTTCAACATTTGATAGCATGTAGAAAAAGTAGATTTTTTTTTTTTTACATTTGAAAACATGTAAAAAACTTTGATCTACTTTTTTTTTTTTGTTATATTTTAAAATATGTAAAAAAAGTAGATCTACTTTTGGAGCACTACGCATGTGAACGTAGATCTGCTTGGACCATTTACGGGGTAAAGGCACTAGGACCAGCTTGAGAGTCACTGGACCCCTGTTGCTCAAAAAATTGTTCCAGAGAGCCCTGTTTCTGGCATCCCTAAGATTTGCCTAAAATGGGACAAGGTATTGTCAATGAACATGTCACAGACACTGCCTACGACAGCTTTGTTAGGGTGATGTTCCTCCACAAACATTTGCACCTCACTCCACTTTGCACAAATGTCCTTAATCTTTGAAGGCACCTTCTTCCCTCTCTGTTCCTCCTCCTGTGAAGCAATTTCCTCACCTGTGGTCTGTTGCTGTTGCAGATGAAGCTCTTGCAGCTCTTCAGTGGTTAGCTCTTCACTGTGGTCCTCCACCAACTCTTCCACACCCTGGTCACTCACATCCAACCCCATGGAATTACCCAATGTCACAATACATTCCACAACCTTCTTTACCAAAGGGCTGGCACTAGGAGCTTTCCTTGGGCCCATGGTGGCTTATTTAGCAGTTGCAAGCACAAATACAATGGATTATTATGAAATGTTTCGTATGAACGCGGGGACGATGCTCACTTGCCAAAAAACAATGCCGGACTGACTCTGAATGCATCGGTGGGAGGCTCTGTGTGAGCGCAGCCACTGGGACACGTTCCATACGACCACCGAAATCCAAGGGAAATCACGAAAACCAGGCTATATTTTGACGAAAAAAGTTGCCAATAACCAAATTTCCCGAAAACTGAGACTCACAAAAAACAAGGGTTCACTGTACAGTGGGTCCTCGCTTTTTGTAATTAATCCGTTCCTGGAAGCGTGACTATTATTGAAATTGACGATTTTTGAATCCATTTTCCCTGTAAGAAATAATGTAAATATAATTAATCCATTCCTGACACCCAGAAGTATTAAAACAAAAAATATTTTTACATGAAATATAGATGTAGTACATAAACAATACAATGGGACACGATGAATGAAACATTAATAGCATAACACTTACCTTATTGGCGATTCCTCTCAGTGTATGGAAGACTGGAGGAGAAGAGAGATTGGATTAGTTACTGTTTGGAAGGGGAATCCCCTTCCATCAACACCTCGGGTACGAAGTCCTTTTCTTGGGTTACTTCTCTTCTCTGTTTCTTAATACCACTAGGACCAGCTTGAGAGCCACTGTATACCTGTGGCACTAAATACTTGTCCAGAGAGCTCTGTTTCTGGCATCTCTTTAAAACTTCCCTAAAATGGGCCAAGACTTTGTCACTGTACAAGTTGCCGATATGGCTTGCAACAGCCTCGTCAGGGTGATGTTTCTCCATAAATCTTTCCATCCTACCCCACATTTCAAAAATCTCCTTAATTTCTGAAGAAGGCAACTTCTTCCATCTCTCTTCCTCCACCTCTGCAGCAATATTCTGAGCTACAGTCTGTTGCTGTTCCTGCTGAAGTTCTTGCAGCTCCTCAGTGGTTAGCTCTTGTTTGTGGTCCTCCACCAACTCTTCCACATCCTCCAAACTTACATCCAACCCCATGGAACTCCCCAGTGCCACAACAGATTTCACTACTGACAGGGTCAGCCCCAAACCCTTCAAAATCCCTCTTGTGAACACAATCTGGCCACAATTTTCTCCAAGCAGAGTTCAAAGTCCTGGTAGTCACTCCCTCCCAAGCCTTACCTATAAGGCTTATGCAATGGAGGATACTGAAGTGATCTTTCCAAAACTCTCTTAGGGTCAAGTGGGTGTCTGAGGTCACATTAAAGCACCTTTGAAACATTGCTTTGGTGTAGAGTTTTTTAGTTTGAAATGATCTGCTGGTCCATGGGCTGGAGGAGAGGAGTGGTATTAGGGGGCAAGAACTTTACTGTGATGAACCCAAACTCCTCCAGAATTAGGTCATCCAAGTTTGGAAGATGAGCAAGAGGCACTTGAGGTCCAATTTCACACTAGGGCCAAACACTTCATTGAACCACTCAACGAAAATTTCCCTCATGACCCATGCCTTATTATTAGCTTTCCAAAACACACACAATTTACTCTTCATAACATGGTTTTTCTGAACACTGGGATTTTCAGAGTGGTACACTAGTAACGGTTTCACTTTGAAATTCCCACCAGCATTAGCACAACATGAGCGTCAGCCTGTCTTTCATAGGCTTGTATCCTGGCAGTCCCTTTTTCTCCTGAGTAATGTAGATCCTCTTTGGCATTTTCTTCCAAAAGAGGCCTGTTTTGTCAAAACTGAACATTTGTTCAGGTTTCAATCCTTCAGCCTCTATGTACTCCTTGAATTCACTTACGAATTTTGTAGTTGCAATTTTGTCCGAACTGGCAGCCTCGCCATGCCTGATCACACTGTGTATGCCACTATGGTTCTTAAATCTCTCAAACCAGCCTTTGTTGGCCTTAAATTCACAAATCTCAGTACTCGTTGCAGGCAATTCCTTTACAAGATCGTCATGCAACTGCCTATCCTTTTCACAAATAAGCGACTGCATAAGACTATCTCCTGCTAACTGTTTCTCGTTTATCCACACCAATAATAACTTCTCAACATCTACGAGTACTGGTGATCTCATTTTTGTCAGCATATTTACCCCCTTTGCTTCCTTGATTTCCTTTTTCTTGGCCACAATGGAAACTATGGTTGTATGGGGTTTCTTATACATCCTGGCCAGTTCGGCCACATGTACACCACTTTCATATTGATCAATGATGTTTTTCTTGAATTCAATCATATTTCTCACCTTCTTTACCAAAGGCCTGGCACTAGGAGCTTTCTTTGGAGCCATGGTAGCTTATTTAGCAGTTGCAAGCACTAAAATGAATGGAATATTATGAAATAGTATTTCAGATGAACAAGTGAGGGGACCGTCACTCACTGGTAAACAATGTCACACTGGCTGGGAAGGGAAGGCGAGGCGGCTTGGAGCCATGTGTACACGTCTGGGATGAATGACTACTATTTGCGAGTCAAACGACGATTCGCGAGCCAATGTTTTGACGAAAATAACATTATGATTTCCGAAAATTACGACTATTGAGCCTTACGATTATCGAGAGTCCACTGTATATGTAATTTTAAGTTATGCACTGAATAACTATAGACTTTTCATTGTACTCTGCTATAAAACATCTAATTACTGTACTATGTAATGTTACAGAAAATAAACTTAGCTATAGAGGGAAAAAGAGCAGGAATAAGAGAAAAGGAAACATGAAATGGGAGAGAAAGGTTGGGAAACAGAAGAGGGAATGGGAGGAGGTGGAGAAGGAGGGACACCATTTCAATTTCACAGTTTAAAATACAACTTAAATGAAATTAGATATGGAATAGTATAGTTCAGGAATGCTTCTTCACTTTTAACATTATGTGTCCATGTAAAAATGGGATCCATGTTCTGAATGGCTTCCAAGAACTTGTATTGTTCATAAGCTGGGGTTCTACTATACCATAACTTTGTTTATATTCTGGAAAAAAAATACGCAAAGATATGTCAATGAATCATTAACATTGTTTCTAGAGGATGTCATTGTTTTGCAGGACATTAATAATCTTTCAATTACTCACCTGTATCTAATTTGATATTTGCCCTTATCTTTCGAGTAGTGGTGCCAAGTAATGTCTTTTAAAGAGATGGGACGGGGAAGTTTTACAGCACAGCCTAAATGAATGCTTTGGCCCCAAGTCACTACCATCTTCTTCTTTGCAATGCAAGCATCACACAGTCCTGGAGTTGAGCCTGTAACATCCTGCAGAAGGCTGCAAAAACATAGCTTCAGGTTAGATTCTATATGTTGTAAATCTGCATACCTATCATATAATAAAAAAGCTACTGTATTCACAATATTATTCAAATAACAAACCTCGTTGCTATTTCACTATTTCCCAATTGAAAGAAATACTGAAGTTTGATCCTTCAATGTGGATGCTGGTGAAAGTCTCATTATCTACTCTTTCCTTCCTCAGATCAAGCCTGATTATCTCCCACCCTTTCTTTCCCTCAGGTGCTGTATGAACCTTATGGGTTTAGCACCTCCCCATAGTAACAATAATCAAGATAAGATCATTTTACAGGCCACATTAACAGTGAAATCTGAAGTAGAGGTACTCAACACATTCTTAAATTTGGTAATTATTCTGCTATAATGCTGCTTTGAGTAGCATTAATAGCAGAATTTACTAGAGCTGTTTTACACATTCTACCAGTCTCTTCCATAAAGAATATTAAGACTCTGCAAATCATTAAAGAAACATTCTGCAAGCAGTACTTCTTACACAATTTGTTACTTTCCTAATATGGTGAAATTCTTATTTCACTAGAGATGCCAAGCCCATGATGACACTCTTCATGTCGCTTGTTCTATCTAGGCTGGAATATTGCTGCACACTAACAGCACCTTTCAAGGCAGGTGAAATTGCTGACCTACAAAATGTACAGAGAACCTTCACGACGCGCATAACGGAGATGAAACACCTCAGTTACTGGGAGCGTTTGAAGTTCCTGAACCTGTACTCCCTGGAACGCAGGCAGGAGAGATGCATGATTATATACACCTGGAAAATCCTAGAGGGACTAGTAAGTAAGTTTATTCAGGTATACACAAATACAGTTACATAGAATTATCATACATAGCAGCATATGTGTAGAGAACCGAACTTGCACACGAAAATCACTCACAACGAAAGCAAAAGATTCGGCAGACGATGCAACATCCCCCCAATGGAAAGCAGGGGTGTCACTAGCACGTTAAGAGACAATACAATAAGTGTCGGGCCCGAGACTGTTCAACTGCCTCCCAGCATACATAAGGGGGATTACCAATAGACCCCTGGCTCTCTTCAAGCAGGCACTGGACAAGCACCTAAAGTCGGTACCTGACCAACCGGGCTGTGGCTCGTATGTTGGATTGCATGCAGCCAGCAGTAACAGCCTGGTTGATCAGGCTCTGATCCACCAGGAGGCCTGGTCACAGACCGAGCCGTGGGGGCGTTGAGCCCTGGAACTCTCTCCAGGTAAACTCCAGATGGACAATATATATGATACTGTATCCACAAAGTCCATGTTTTGACGAGCAAACTTTAACCTACATGAAGAGTTCTTTGGAACACATTCATGTCAGTGGGGGCATGAACTTGTAAATGCAAGAAGGTTGGCTTGGTCCTCAATACTCCTTACGTGATAAAAAAATAAAAAGGATTTCAGTATTCAGGGTCAATACCAGACTCCCTAGTAGTATATTCCAGACACAGTACGCAACATCTCACAATTATATCTGTTATCTGTGACTCTTTACAACTAACCTGAAATTTGGAGAGGAAACTTGAGAAATGTTTCAGCCCATCCTGAACAATTATCAATTACAGTGGGACCACTACTTGCGAGCGTGTCCACGTGCGAGTTTTTCCAAATACAAGCAGTCAATGGGTCGATTGTTTGCTTGCATACGCGAGCAAAATTTCCACAAGCAAGCACACCTCAAGGCAGGTTCCTTGACACTGGTGAGGGGCTCTGGCTCTTGATCTCGGGAATTGCATCTCATTTGTTTGTTGGACTATCTTATTGAAACTTGGGCAATGTATGATGGAAAGATGCTTCTTAACGTACACCAAAAATGAAAGAAATCTAAGCATAAATAATGGAGTTCACTTCTCAGCAATTAGCCACCCCTTAGCGGTATTTTCATACGGTTTTTATGGTTATATTCTCGTTTTTTTGTCTCATTTGATAGAATGGAAGATATTATTATTTTTATTATCACACCGGCCGATTCCCACCAAGGCAGGGTGGCCCGAAAAAGAAAAACTTTCACCATCATTCACTCCATCACTGTCTTGCCAGAAGGGTGCTTTACACTACAGTTTTTAAACTGCAACATTAACACCCCTCCTTCAGAGTGCAGGCACTGTACTTCCCATCTCCAGGACTCAAGTCCGGCCTGCCGGTTTCCCTGAATCCCTTCATAAATGTTACTTTGCTCACACTCCAACAGCACGTCAAGTATTAAAAACCATTTGTCTCCATTCACTCCTATCAAACACGCTCACGCATGCCTGCTGGAAGTCCAAGCCCCTCGCACACAAAACCTCCTTTACCCCCTCCCTCCAACCCTTCCTAGGCCGACCCCTACCCCGCCTTCCTTCCACTACAGACTGATACACTCTTGAAGTCATTCTGTTTCGCTCCATTCTCTCTACATGTCCGAACCACCTCAACAACCCTTCCTCAGCCCTCTGGACAACAGTTTTGGTAATCCTGCACCTCCTCCTAACTTCCAAACTACGAATTCTCTGCATTATATTCACACCACACATTGCCCTCAGACATGACATCTCCACTGCCTCCAGCCTTCTCCTCGCTGCAACATTCATCACCCACGCTTCACACCCATATAAGAGCGTTGGTAAAACTATACTCTCATACATTCCCCTCTTTGCCTCCAAGGACAAAGTTCTTTGTCTCCACAGACTCCTAAGTGCACCACTCACTCTTTTTCCCTCATCAATTCTATGATTCACCTCATCTTTCATAGACCCATCCGCTGACACGTCCACTCCCAAATATCTGAATACGTTCACCTCCTCCATACTCTCTCCCTCCAATCTGATATTCAATCTTTCATCACCTAATCTTTTTGTTATCCTCATAACCTTACTCTTTCCTGTATTCACCTTTAATTTTCTTCTTTTGCACACCCTACCAAATTCATCCACCAATCTCTGCAACTTCTCTTCAGAATCTCCCAAGAGCACAGTGTCATCAGCAAAGAGCAGCTGTGACAACTCCCACTTTGTGTGTGATTCTTTATCTTTTAACTCCACGCCTCTTGCCAAGACCCTCGCATTTACTTCTCTTACAACCCCATCTATAAATATATTAAACAACCACGGTGACATCACACATCCTTGTCTAAGGCCTACTTTTACTGGGAAAAAATTTCCCTCTTTCCTACATACTCTAACTTGAGCCTCACTATCCTCGTAAAAACTCTTCACTGCTTTCAGTAACCTACCTCCTACACCATACACTTGCAACATCTGCCACATTGCCCCCCTATCCACCCTGTCATACGCCTTTTCCAAATCCATAAATGCCACAAAGACCTCTTTAGCCTTATCTAAATACTGTTCACTTATATGTTTCACTGTAAACACCTGGTCCACACACCCCCTACCTTTCCTAAAGCCTCCTTGTTCATCTGCTATCCTATTCTCCATCTTACTCCTAGTTAATTCTTTCAATTATAACTCTACCATACACTTTACCAGGTACACTCAACAGACTTATCCCCCTATAATTTTTGCACTCTCTTTTATCCCCTTTGCCTTTATACAAAGGAACTATGCATGCTCTCTGCCAATCCCTAGGTACCTTACCCTCTTCCATACATTTATTAAATAATTGCACCAACCACTCCAAAACTATATCCCCACCTGCTTTTAACATTTCTATCTTTATCCCATCAATCCCGGCTGCCTTACCCCCTTTCATTTTACCTACTGCCTCACGAACTTCCCCCACACTCACAACTGGCTCTTCCTCACTCCTACAAGATGTTATTCCTCCTTGCCCTATACACGAAATCACAGCTTCCCTATCTTCATCAACATTTAACAATTCCTCAAAATATTCCTTCCATCTTCCCAATACCTCTAACTCTCCATTTAATAACTCTCCTCTCCTATTTTTAACTGACAAATCCATTTGTTCTCTAGGCTTTCTTAACTTGTTAATCTCACTCCAAAACTTTTTCTTATTTTCAACAAAATTTGTTGATAACATCTCACCCACTCTCTCATTTGCTCTCTTTTTACATTGCTTCACCACTCTCTTAACTTCTCTCTTTTTCTCCATATACTCTTCCCTCCTTGCATCACTTCTACTTTGTAAAAACTTCTCATATGCTAACTTTTTCTCCCTTACTACTCTCTTTACATCATCATTCCACCAATCGCTCCTCTTCCCTCCTGCACCCACTTTCCTGTAACCACAAACTTCTGCTGAACACTCTAACACTACATTTTTAAACCTACCCCATACCTCTTCGACCCCATTGCCTATGCTCTCATTAGCCCATCTATCCTCCAATAGCTGTTTATATCTTACCCTAACTGCCTCCTCTTTTAGTTTATAAACCTTCACCTCTCTCTTCCCTGATGCTTCTATTCTCCTTGTATCCCATCTACCTTTTACTCTCAGTGTAGCTACAACTAGAAAGTGATCTGATATATCTGTGGCCCCTCTATAAACATGTACATCCTGAAGTCTACTCAACAGTCTTTTATCTACCAATACATAATCCAACAAACTACTGTCATTTCGCCCTACATCATATCGTGTATACTTATTTATCCTCTTTTCTTTAAAATATGTATTACCTATAACTAAACCCCTTTCTATACAAAGTTCAATCAAAGGGTCCCATTATCATTTACACCTGGCACCCCAAACTTACCTACCACACCCTCTCTAAAAGTTTCTCCTACTTTAGCATTCAAGTCCCCTACCACAATTACTCTCTCACTTGGTTCAAAGGCTCCTATACATTCACTTAACATCTTCCAAAATCTCTCTCTCTCCTCTGCATTCCTCTCTTCTCCAGGTGCATACACGCTTATTATGACCCACTTCTCGCATCCAACCTTTACTTTAATCCACATAATTCTTGAATTTACACATTCATATTCTCTTTTCTCCTTCCATAACTGATCATTTAACATTACTGCTACCCCTTCCTTTGCTCTAACTCTCTCAGATACTC